ATTATTATTATTATTATTATTATTATTATTATTATTATTATTATTATCCTAAATGCTTGGAAATGCCATATTCTTTTAAGCATCATTGCAATTGAGAGAGAACATTCTACTTCCCAAGGTACAAGATAATCCTGTGGCTTGAATTTAAGATGCTCTGGTTAGTGGTAATAATAAACCAGGTTTTATAGATTAGCATGCACCCAATTTCATACAATACAGTTTATTGACCAGATCATTATTAAACAAGCCTATAGGTAAACATGAGGAGTTAACTGGCCAGACTTTGAACACAAAGCCCAGCAAAGTTCAAGGTTGCTCTAACAGACCTTAGAGAGTCAGTGGGCTTTTTACTGGTCCATCTATGCCAACTGGATGCAGCTCATTTCTCTTCCTGATGCTCATTTGCAAATCCCAATAACAAAATCAAGCAGTCAAAGCTTTGTAAAGCAACAGTCCTTCCCGTGACTTAAAAAAAAAACCAAAGCACTGCAAAATTGGCTCACTTATAAATGTCGACGCTCCAAAATGCATTTGGAAACCACTACAAACTGCAGTTCCAACTTCTGTATTCTACTAGCACACACAATACTATTTTTGCAGGAATAAAAAATTTATGCATTTATGCGTGGCCCACAATGCAGCTGCATATGCCATTGTACAAGGTTGGCTAATTGGTTGGATGTGCAGTGCAGAATTGTTATGGTTTTTAATCCATCTTTTTATCCCCATGCTTAACTTGCTGATAAATTTGAGACCATTCCTAAGATTTGTTCTGACCAGGAATTGTTCTTTGGTCTGGATAGTAAAATTGCTTAACTCACCAACCAATCACCCAACCAACCAACCTGGCATATAAATTTTTGCCGCTGGCATTTTCTTCCACGTCACAAACCCTGGCCTTGCCCAGTCGTGGCTTTACGATTTACGATAAGAAGATATAAATCGGGAACAGGAAACGTGAAGGACAAAAAGAGATAAAAAGTCATGTATGAGTTCCAAGGCTACACCATGATGTGACAGGCATGGGCAATTTTTGCTGACTGGAAGGCCATGTTTGGCTTTGAAAGAAGGAATAGCTAGTGGAACAGCTTGCCACCAGAAATTGTGGGTGCTTCACAGAGGTGGGATTCAGCCGGTTCTGCAGAACCGGTAGTGAAAATTTTGAATAGTTCAGAGAACCGGCCAATCCCGCCTCTGACTGGCCCCGCCCCCATCTCTTCTCCGCCTCCCACTGAGTCCCAGCTGGTCGGGTGGGTCTCCTTGGGTTGCCCTGCCCAGGAGAACGGAGCTGGAAAGCAGGTTAGAGGGGTGGGGAGGGAAGGGGGATTTTGCAGTATATCCTTCCTCTGCCACGCCCACCAAGCCACGCCCACCAAGCCACGCCCACCAAGCCACACCCACAGAACAGGTAGTAAATTTTTTTGAATCCCACCACTGGCGCTTCATCACTGGAGGTTTTCAAGAAGAGACTGGACAGCCACTTGTCTGAAATGGTATAGCTTCTCCTGCTTGAGCAAGGGGCTGGACTAGATGACCTCCAAGGTCCCTTCCAGCTCTATTCTCATTGATTTGATTGATTGATTGATATCAGCAATTACAGAAATGATAATGAGTACATTTTTACTCTCATCCTTGTCACCAAGTGATCGTCTTGGCTTTCATCCTGATGACAACGGCTCCTGTTTTGTCTGCACAGGGGCCCAATTCAGCGGCCCGATTGCTAGTTCACACCAGGATGATGCTACCCACACACACAACCTACTAATAATCGCAGAGCAAGCTGAAGGCAGTTATTTGCATATCGCGTGGTGCACAGCTCCAAAATAACTCTTCCAATAAAAGAATAGGGAAGTGGAACTGAGAGTCGTCGTGCTGTGGAAGAAAACGATTTTCCCCTTGAATTTAATGATAAATAAATAGCCTTCAGATATACTGCAAAAAAAAAAAGTGGGTCTGTATTCGGCCAGTGTGTTTTAACACTGACAAACTCATCAAGGTATCCCTTATAGCAGGGGG